AGAGAGAGAGAGAGAGAGAGAGAGAGAGAGAGAGAGAGAGAGAGAGAGAGAGAGAGTCTCACGATACGTTCACGTTCTACTACGGTGATGTTAATTTGGTCTAGCGATCGCCGATTCATTTGCATAATTAACACCGTGCGACACACCAGTAACGCCTTCGTGTAGCGCATTCGATGGGCCGATACGGCGGCGAGGTAGTCATTTTCGAGATAACTAGCGGCTAGTTAATTTATGGTGATTCTGGATTCAGCCGTTTTACGCCCGTAGGCGCGGCGCACGCGCGCGTCTGGCCTGCGGCGATTTGTTTTAAAATTAATTTTATTCGGTTATCGATTACGCGACGGGCGCGCGCGCGATGAGTAGTTACCCATAACGACAACATATATCGCCGTTGAAACTGACGCTGCATGAACGAACGAACAAACGAACGAACGAACGAACGATCGTTTCGCGAATGCGCTTCCGAGTCGCGTGTCATTAATCGCGACGCATTAAAGCCGAATCGCCGTATCGGCGAGCGATTGTCGCGAATATCACGCCGCGCGTACCCCACGCGCTGAGAAAGAAAAGTCTATTTGTCACGCGCGCATAAAATATCGAGTGAGTTACGTGAGCGCGCGGGGTCGTTTTATGGCCGGTGATGCGTCTAGTTAAATAACGATAGCGCGACGAATAATTACGGGCGCTTGTGTGCAGTTCGTGCGCGCGTTGAAATATTATCGCTGAATATTCTCCCATTATAGCCGCGCGTATCAATGCGCCGCTGCGTATTTGCTAATGCTCTATTTGCCGACACGCGCGCTATTAAGCGAGAACACTCTTGCGCGATTTACGTAATGCCGATAGTACCTTCTGCCTGTTAATCGTCTATCTGCCACTAACGGAGACAACTGACGTGCGCGTATCCACTTGAGTAAATTCCTCTTCTCTTGTTTTCTCTTTTTCACTATTTCTGTCGCGCGCGTGAACCTTCTCCGTGGAAGTTCAGGATTTGTATTAATAGTCGGTACTGTATGGTCACTGTAATCACATACATATTACCGAGTTTCGTTCTTCTTCTTTGTCTCTCTTTCTTGCTTCTTTCTCTCTCTCTTTCTCTCTCTCGTATCCATTGAAAATCCTTTCACGAGGCAGTCCCGAGAACGTGGTGTTTTCCTTTTGTTCTCCGCGGTGCGTCGAGAACCGGCTTGAAACACAAGTTGATTGGCTTCGCGCCCGGCGTTGGCGCGTAAGAACATGATTTAATTATTTCAAGCTCCAGCGCTTCCGGCGATACCGGTATATCGGCGGGTGTATAATATCCCGTCGGCCGCGAAAGCGTCGCGCGTCGTCGTTCCATAAAAAGCTCGTCGGTCTGCCGTGACATCGTCGTCGCTGCGCTCCGACACCTCTGAGAAGAGAGACAGAGAGAGAGAGAGAGAGAGAGAGAGAGAGAGATCCATTAGCGCATCGTTATTGCGACAGGTGATGCGCAATCTCACAGAGGGAGAGAGAAGAAAAAAAATAGAATATAAAGTTTATACGGAGTCTCTGATAATTACTACACATCCGTCGAATGCAGGTGAAGCTCGTCAAACTGAACACAACAATCCTCTACCATTTCGCAAACATGCACGTAAAATTTTGAATTATTAATTAAAGGAGATTGGCGAATGATCACGCGCGATACGGTAGATGAGCTGTGATGGCGACATCTGCCGTCGTGTGCTTGTATATTTAGTCAAATTGAACAAAAAAGTCCTCCGCCATTTTGCAAATGACCGCGTGGATTTTTAGTTATTAATTGAAGAAAATTGACGCATGATCGTGCATGATAACGCAGCACTCTTCTCCAATTACTAAAAAAATCTTTGGCCATTTGCAAAATAGTAGGATGCTTTCTTATTCAATTTCACTTAGTGTGTACGAGCACACACACGACGCTAATCGCGGCTCACCTGTCGCGCGATCGTCCCACCTGTCTTCTTCAATTAATAATTCAAAATTTTACGTGGCTGTCTGCGAGACATGATGGAGGGAATTTTGTGTTCAGCTCGCGACGAGTTCTGCCCGCGCTAAACGGCTGCGTTAAGAATTGTCAGACACCCTGTATAATGGGAGCGATATACGGAGAATCGATACGCGCCTCCTCAGCGGGTGGCTATCGCGATTCGAACTTATCGATCCTCGATTACCCGCCGCGCGCGACTATCGCGCGCAGCACACGCCCGGCAAGTTTCGCAGCTTCTTGCAAATCGGATTTTCCTCACGGGTACGGGTTCTCTCGTTCGTTTGCGAGAACACCCGTCCTTCCTTCGCCCCGGCGATTACGCGCTTTCGGTGCATCGTGCTTTCAGTGCGACGTAGCGATATCGCTTTGCCTCTTCAGCGACGCGTTCTCTCTTCCCTTTTCGCGCGTTACTCCAGAAATTTACTTTCGCAAGAGATTCTAGTGGAATTCCCGCAAAACGTTCGCGGCGCGAAGCGTCCGCGCTTGTCCGCACCAGATTGCCCGAGCAATTTGGAAAGTTCCTC